TTTAAATATATTTCGGAACACCGAAACCCCTACTAAAATGCCTAAAAGTGTATACAAAAAGATAATTTAGAAATGGGAGTTACCAGCAGATAATAAAACCAATTGTTAATTATTTAGAACTCACCTCTTGTGATCGAAGCCCCTAATCACCAAGAGACATTGTTCTCTCAATAATACTCATAAAATATAGCCAATATGTTTCTCAGACGATATTCCAATACATATATCAACCCCATTAATATCGTCTTAATCAAGGTACTAGTGAAATAGCCGTTATAAACGTAGAATATGTAAATTTTATTGTTCACTAGACCTCAGTCAAATACAAAGTTTTTTCGCTTTTTCCCTAGCGCAAAAAGTTTTCGCTATAAATTCTTTTTATTTGTTGTCGTGCCTCAATTAATAATAATGATAATGTTTAATTTTTAACCCCGAAAAGATGTTATAGACCGGTAATTGCAAATTTAGATTATAAAAATGTAATACCTTATTTTTTATTTCGGAAAAAATGTTTTTTTGAACTTTTTTTTATAAATAATTTATATTTGCTCAAAAAAAAATTAAAAACATCATTTATGTAAACTAATTGACAAAATTAAGTTGACCTGTTTTTTATCGGCGGAAAAACATATTTACGGGGTGAAATACACCCTCCCCCCAAAACAGTTTTCTCTAAATATCTGGGGTTCTAATCAATATTTTGAAATGAAAATAGTATAATACATAAAAAAAGAATACTACTAAAAAGTATACTATCCGATATTCTCTAAAATTTGGAATGTGAGTACCTACATTATACACGAGAAAAATGGGAAATATATTATCACAGTTAAATAAATTAATAACTGATTCAAGTAAAAAATAAAACCAACTATTAATCGATACAATTAGCTTTGTTCATTTTAAAAGAAGTTTGCAACCTTTGACGTTTTATTCTGTACTTTTAGATACAAAACTTTCTGTTTATACTGATTTAAGAAGGATTATTAAAATTTAAGAAAAATATTTATTAAGAATCCAAAAATAAAAAGAATATTGGTGGATCGCGTTTTAAGTTTTTAAGGGTGAAACTTTGATACACACCAACAGACAGTAGAAAAATAGATATTGGGCACTTGTTTCTTTCTGCGGAAAAACTGTTTTGAAGGGTGAGGACCATCTTTAATGTTCATACCCGAAAACACATTTTTATATATTCTGTCCTCTATTGGCCCTATCAATTTTTTTTTTGAATAAGCAAAATAGAAGGATTCATAGTAAATTGAACATTAGAGATCGCACCCCCCCGGATTGTAAATGGTAAAATTATGCTTATTTTTTTATTTTCGTAAATTTTCACTAAAAATACAGACTACAGACAAAATTGATTGTGAATCATTCGTTCTGTACAATAGAAATAATTTCCATTTTATTTCATTCCAAAATATTGATTAGAATCCCAGATATTTAGAAAAAACTGTTTTGGCGGGGCGAACTTTGAGGGTATATTTCACCTCCTAAATATGTTTATCCGCCGATAAAAAAAATATGTGTCTCTTAGTTTTTTATGTTCTACATAACATATATAAAAATTTTGGATTTCGGAGTGTTCGGGTTGGGGTAGTTTCCTTGTTATTAGTGTTCTTTGAAGAGCTGTGTATTTGTGAAAAATATTAGTATCGAGACGAAAAAAAGAACATATTAAAGTTCCAAGTTTTTAATTTCTAGATCTTTTGGCAAAAAAATGTTATGAGCTGCGGTTATTAAGTAAATTTTTTGAATTTTTTTGTTTTCTTTTAATGGTCTACGGGCTGGAAAATTTGTTTTCAGTTAAACTAATACTTACATCAGTTAACTTGTTTATACAGCTTTAATATGGTTTTCTCCATCTCTGTATATCAATTTTTTGCTGAGATATCTGACTGAATATAAGAGGACCCTTTTGTTTTTGATTTCAGCAGCTAATGATCACAGAGAAAATTTAAGGACAATTTTAAAAACTTAAATGAATTTCATATAAGAACCTTTAATGCCTTTTTGCGAATTTTTTTTTATCCTCGATTAGTTTGAAAAAATATAAAAAAATTACTTTTTACGGTTTCTCAGGAAATTTACCGCTGCTTTACAAATATTACAGAAAAAACGAATGTCAGTTTTCTGCGCACGCGCACTTGTCTCATGCCAGATAATGTTACAACAATTGTTCAAAATTTTATCCACCAATGTGTAAACACATTTGGGTCCGTTGTACTCAGTTTCTACGAACTAACACAAATGTTGTCTTGTTTCACCATAACACAAATGCTTCACCATAAATTAAAACGATATATCCATCAACTCCGAGTACACGCAAACCATTTTTGACACAAACTACCCATTTTTGACACTAACTACTAAAACCCTGTTGTAAACACCACAGATAGCAAGTAAATATCGCAACGACGATTGCAAAATCCGAATTCAGTATTCGGAGTCGCTGAGGCCACGTGGCGAATGACGCTAGAGACTACAGTTGTCCAGCTATGTAGTGGTTGAATGTACTATAACTTCAATATTTTTTT